AGTGTAACATCTCTGACACAGCAGTGCAGTGCTATTGAAACTCAGGGGACGTGGACGAGCGACTCAACCCTGGAAGAGCTGAGCAAGGCCATCAACGGCCTGCGACCAGGGAAACCTCCAAGAGCGCAATGGGGCTTCTGCTGAAACAGCACGCACAGTCTGTATTCAAGCATGGTTTATAATTGTCTCGCAATTTTCCGCATGCAAAATCCAAAATGAGTATGACCTGCTAAAAACACCCATAATTTTAGCTTTAAGGGCTTATGATTCAAAAGCGGCAAGGTGAAATTTTTTTATATTATCAAATTTTGATTAGCAGATAAGACGCAGCTTTTAGCGAACTTTTCAAAAATCTGTTCATGGGGTTCATATCTTAAAGTTTTGAAAATTTTCGAAAATTACAACGTGTTCACCAATTACTGAGCATTTTTTTGATACCATGATTGTAGCATCAACTGTATAGTAAAAAGTGGTTTTATCGACCCATCAAAATCTAAGTCTTGGAAAGTGCTGGAAACTTGTACACCATAACAGTTGACCTTTGACTGAGCAAGTCTACAATTCAACAACTCGTGTCTGAGAAAAAAATCCCAACAAAATAAAAATTAGGGAATAAAATTTTCAATTTCAAATCGGAACGGCATGCACGTGATTCCAATCCGGGTGGAGAGTTTCGCGCGCTTCACTTGGTGCTTGTTTACTTCTTCGTCCCGAGGTGAAGTTGCAGTCGGTTCAGGACTAAGTATTCCGTACCCGTTGTTGAAAGCCCGTCCCTTTTTTGTCACTGCACTTTAGGTATCATGAGTGCCTTGCATCAGTCTACTGGAATCACGAGTCCAGAGTGTCGACTGAATAGGGTGGTCCAATTCTGACCGGGTCAGTACTTATCGCAGGACTTCCGGCTCTAACCGCCAGAGGACTGTGTCTGTATTCAAGCAGGGGTTGCATTTTGTCGTTTGATGTTACGCATTCAAATTAAAAAAAAAAATTGCTTGAATTGTGTTTTCAATTTTGAGAGAGAGATAGGGATGGATGTGATTATCATGGTAGTTGTATTCATCAAAACAATATCCTGTCCAAGTTGACGAATACAACTACCATGATTCCCTGCAGGCGGATTTCATAGACGGAATTGCCCATTGTGATAAGCAACGAAAGTTTGTTTTTCGCACTTGCAATTCACTGCCCTGTATGTTACATATGAAAAAAAATAAAAAATACAAAAATACAAAACCTGTGCTATTGCTTTCCTGCATGTATATGTGTCTCTGTCTCAAGGTTCACAGGCAAGGCCGAAAAGTACTTGTAGGTACGTGGGCCATCTGTGTTCCACTTCGCGAACAGTGGAGACTGGTTTTTGGGTCTTTCCTGAGTTAAACGGAGAAATGCATTGTGCGAACAGCATTGCATGCTGTCTCTTTATTCTGCGAAAGTAAAAATGTACCAAAAGCAATATCAGACGGCAAAGGCAACGAGAACGCCACCAAACAAAAGGTTTAATGAGTAGGACAATAGCTGTACACGTGCGTCATACGTCTTGGTACATTTAATTTCTTTGCCGTCCTTTGCAAAACAACAACGCGAAATGACTACTTTCTGCGTAGTCTGAGGAACGCGAACGACGACGGCTAAGTTTTTGTATGTTTCTTTGGCATTGAAGACTAGCATTACATATTTAGCTTGAGTAAAATCTAAGATCAATAGACGCTCTGAACAGATCTAGACATTTGCGAAATGCGAAGGTAAAATCATATGTTTATTTTTTACTAGGCGTTGTCCTTGGGGTCGCGGTCGTCATTGGTTAAATTCCCTTATTTTGTTATTCAGCACCTCACTGGGGGCGTGCACGGAGGTGAGGTACTCTATACGGCTACTATAGTTTCGTAAAAGAGCATCATGCGGTAAGAGCAAATGGAACTACATAACTTAGAGAAAATCTTAACTAGCTGAAACGAATGAAAGTTTATTCTAAAGAATGATAATGACGCCGAGGATACTTGCCTGGCCAATTTTAAGATGAACGAATTCGATGAATAGGGTTTATCGTCAAAGGGCATATATCGGATTGTAAAAATTAGAAGACAACTTCGACTGGTTGCCAGGACCAAGGCCGAGAATAACGTCTTACCAAATACTCTTTGCTTTTATGGTGAACAGAGGGTTCTGCGCTTAATCTTCAAATTTTGAGATCAGGGTCCAAATGGAAGAAGACGTCATAGTCAAAACGATGGCTAAGCTTATTAGTTCTTCTGACACGATCGCTGCGCCAATTGCCTGCTAGATTCTCTGGGTCCGGCCGTTGATAGTCGTATTAAGCTCACCCTTGACTAGAGGCTATATGCAGGAGAAATCAAGCAGGTTACAAGCCATTGCATGTTTCACTGGATTAGAATTCAACACTAAGAAAACCAATATCGTGAGGCTCAATAGCAACTCCCAGCATCAAATCTTTATGAACGGAGCACCCTTGGAGGATGTGGACAAATTTGTCTGCCTTGGTTCTGAGATGGGGAAACCAGCGGAGGAGAGACGGATATCAGCAGGAGACTATCCCTTGCCAGAGGTGCCTTTGTAAAACTCAAACCATCATGGAATTTGTAGTGGTCAGCGGTTCTTACGGGCGCATGCTCGTATCAATAAAACGTGTTCTGTGCATCCGCCATCTTGGGTATCTTGTTTTCTACACTTCCTACACTTCAGAATTCATCAGCTTACCGCTACAAGACCAAACTTAAAATCTCCAAGAGTAATGTCCTAGCTGTTCTACGATATGGCGCAGAAATATGGAAGATGACTGAACATGATGCCTGCCGATTGGACAGAATCCAGAGAAGGTGCTCGAGGAAAATTTTTCGAATCTTCTAGCCAGAAAAGATTACTAACAAAGATCTATTCTTAAAAGCTGGGATGATGCCTGTTTCTGACATGATTACAGATAAGCGCTGGAGATGGTTAGGCCATGTTCTAAGGCTTGAGGATATCAACAATGCTAAGGTGTCTAACATGGAGCCCTGAAGGTAGAAGAAGGAGAGGTAGACCCAAGACAACCTGGCGTTGAACGGTTGAGAGTGAATGGCGCAGACAAGGCTTTACCTCGTGGACACAGATTGAAAATATGGCGAAAGACCGTGCAAGGTGGAAAGAGTTGGAGCGCGGCCTCACACACCACCGTGAGGTGTTAGAAGAATGATGATGATGATGATGATGATGATTAGAGGCTCCAAAACGCGAATTAAATAAAGAAATAAAAATATCTTTAATTGACCATTCCCCCAACGGGGCTTTTCAGGGCCAATGAAACCAAATGATGAAACAAATAATACAAATGAACATATCATGGTTAAAAATTCCATCTGGCAGGAGGCATACCAGTTGGCTATTTACAAGCGTGGCCGAGCAGTTGGTCTACCGAGAAACAGCTTCAGCTTAGTGGTCAGAGCGAGACTTAAACCTGCGACCTCCGGAATTCCGGCGCCCTAACCACTCGCTAATTCTTACTTGACTCACAGCTAAGAAACACAAAGGAAACTCATGAAGTCAGGGAACATTCCAGCGATGTTATTTTCAAAAAAGATAAAGTTTGCCGCCCCCTTTTTTATCGTTTCGGAGGGGATAGTAAAGCCAGTCAAGAGTGTCACATGCACAACCTCACATGCTACCTTTAGCTCACCTTTAATATTCACGAAATCCTTGATGTGAGCGCAGTTCAGACGACGTGAAAGATGAAGGTGTGCAAAATGCAGATAGGAGGTATATCCCCCTGAGCGGGATAATTCGTTATTTCGTGTTCCGGCCAAGTGTATGCGTAACGTATGCTATAGCCTGGGAACCGGCTCTCGTGTTTGAGCCAGTGGCGGGAGCGGCGAACCCACGAGAGACATACATGTAAGACGAAACGAGTCCAGTTGAGTTGAGTTGAGTTGAGTATTTAGTCGAGTCGAGTCTAGTTTCTAAGCCCGTCCCCCCCGCCACCCCCCCTCCACTCGCGTCGCCCTTAAACTCGCTCGCGCGCTAAAGCAAATACGGAGCGCTTGAGTGCGAAACCCAGACACTAGAACCTACTCGCGGGCTACGTATGCTTCACCAAGATGTGATGAGACAGATCGCAGTCTCTTGATGAGAGGCTTGGCAGCTTAGTACAACGCATTCGAGGTTTCCCTCACTGGCTATCAGGGCTGTAGTTCAATATTGGGTAGCGGGGGCCAATAACGATTTGTGTTTTGTCACTGACACTGAAAGCATAAGAACGTTTGGGCATTGAACACTGAAAGAACATCACTGAGTAAGTGGGTTTAGCTCAATAAAAGGGGCTCCTAGAGAGAGCGTACGCGCTTTATTGCTTTAGTAAAGGTAGCAAGGAGGTTTTTCGGAACATGTTCCCCATTTAGGCTCTTTCAGAGCATTTAACAGGGATGGATGGGGCCTGTCCTCGTAGATTCCTCATTGATTAGTTTTGTCGTGCACATTTCAGAGTCACATGATGTAAAAAGACATGAAACTAAGGAACGAGAACGTGACATAGAAACAAGTAAGACTACGCTCATAAGAATATATACCTCCGCAATTGGCAGCTGTCACGCGTGACGCGACGGAAAGCGTGAGAGGAATACGGCCTCACGCGAGCGAGCGAGAAAGCGGTTTCTCATATTCGTGCGGCAATTTTTCCTCTCGCGCGTCGCGTGTTCTTGTCGGTCACACTCGACGGACTACTATTCAAAAGAGAGGCATCTCGTAGTCTGCATCTGATACAGAGCGATACACCAGTTTCTAGTTTCAAAGCAAAAACACTTGCCAGACATCAGAGATTAACATGTGATGAGGAACGTACCGCAACACAGAAGCGTCAACAATCATTTCTGGTTTTGTTTTGCTTTCTGTTATTTAAATTTCTGTTTTGCATCTTGTTTTTGTTTTAACTTTTGTTTTAATTTTACCTTTGGTTTAGATTATAACATTGCACAATACGATTAACAAGGCGTTGCGTTTGTCACCTATATTCATTTACGTTACAATTTGCAACGTGGAGCACCCACAACGCAGTCACGCGAGGTTAGTAGGTCACGCGATGTTCGGTAAAAAATATTTACATTGTTGTCGTGGACATATTCATTGATTGTCTTTCTGAATTTTTGTAAAGATGAACGGAAGATTTCGTGTTAGATCTTAGGGAGAGAAACTCGGTTATTCGTAAAGATTTCGATCTTTGTAGCTGCGTCCTTTGTCATCCTGATGTTACACTATTCACCGAGAAGATTGTTAAATTAAGACTTTAAAACAATGTCTTGTGAGATGGCAGCGGTCATTAGCTGTTGTAAGCTCGAATATTCATTATTTCGATTTTAATATTTATTTAGTTATTTTCATTCAACGCCGCCATCATATATCCACTGCAGCGGAATAAAGTGTTGTGGAATATACGCTTTCTTAATCTTGGATGGCTATTGATATCGAAAACTGTTTAAGAAGGGCTGAGTGAAGTCTTCTTATGTGCTTCTCCTCCAAAAGGCTGTATAGTAGCTCTGAAACAGGTCTCGTCGTTCCGTTTATTTTCGTTGTAAAGACAACTGACCCTCGGGAGCAAAAAATATCACCTGCGATCATTACCTCCCCACAAACCAGCTGACTCAGGAACCAAACAGTTAGCCTTCACTTACAAGGCGTACCGAATAGTTTTTGTAGAAGTTATTGTCCCAGTAAACGTTTCCCCTCACGTTGTAACGAATGGCGAACTCCACATTGCTCGTTTCTTTCAAGAGAGATAGCAATGGTATGCGAAAAAAGAACGTATCCATTGTCCCATCACTTGAAATCGAAAGATGTTCGGCGGACTCCTCGCGAAACGTTTCCCAACCATCCCCGGTGTATCGTACCACAACCTCTTTTTTGTAAGCGATGTTCAACACTCGCACAAAGCCGATGATAGCTTTATCACAAACTACGCTTTCCAGACAAATGTACTGTCGTGTGACTCTTTCAAGAAAATCGTCTTTGTCGACTGGTTGCTCAAACAGGCATGTTAGGTATCGCCGGTGAGCTGCGATCGGCTTTGCCGGAGCTTTATGGTCTTGTGAAAAGCAAATGTCTGTCAGGCTATTCCTCGGAGAGATTTCTACCACATTGACCAGCGAAAAGCCCAATAAATCGGCAAAGGTGACTCTTTTCTTTTTTCCCATTTAGAAGCCCGTGAAATGTTTCACACTTAGGGCTTCTAGCGGGAATGTTATCCAGCTCAAACGTTCAGCGATCGGTTCGGTAAACAACATTCAATCGAACGTGCAAGCATGCACAACTGTTCACGTGAGCAGACAGTCTCCTGCACGTGCACAGAGATAACAGTAATTTACATAAACAACGTTAAAAATAGATCAGCAAATTAAGTTTAAGTGTAGTGATGACGTTTTTCGCGAGTCATGACATAAATCGTCGAGTAGGGGCGCGCTAGTAAGTTTGCCAGGGTCGCGTGATTATGAACGAACGATCGAAACCAGTGGAACAAGTGGAGCAAGGCATGTAAGTGATTCGACCATAATGACTCCACTCTTGCGGGTATACGTACATCAGTAAATGTAGCTGGGCATTGAATCAAAATAAAAGCAGACTGTATGTAATTATGTAAATGATCAAACGAAAGGCAAGTGCACCTGCCAGGGTGCGGTGATGGATTTTTGTCGAATCGTGTCAAGCAAATGATGTCGGTCGATTCCTGCTGCGAAAATCGGTTATTACTAGAATTAATTGCTAGACTAAGACAAAGCAACGAGGGCGAGGAATGGGGCTGAGTCCTGAATCCCTCACCTCACCTCCAAGCCCCTGATAAAACTATTTGGAAGTTTACGAGTAACGCGGGTGCTGAGTGGTTGATGGAGGTGGAACAGAGTTTTGGGGGCTCCGCACGAGGACAAGATTTTCAAAATCCTGCACTGTGATTGGCTATTCGACAGGATAAGATGGTAACAAGATGGAGCAGTCTTGCCTGCTCGGGGATCCGCACGAAAATGTGTTCTTGCAATTTGTGTAGCAAAATAAATCTAATGGATCAAGCTTGTGCCTCGGCTTAAAAGGAATGAGGCCAATATTTATTCATCTTGACCTCACTTTTGGTCAATAATCCTTGTTTCCTTGCCATTAAAGGTCTGTTGTAAGTAAACTACGTGACGGTGAATGTATCGTCGAAAAAAACCTCATCAGGCCTGTCTCAACAGTTGATTCCTGATCCGGTCCGCGCAACCGAAGAAACAGATGCGGCCAAAGTTCAAGTTAGCCGAAGTTTACTGGCGTTGAATTTTGGCAGCTGGACAATACAAGTAACAGGCGAATCAGTCTGAAATTATGCTGAAATGAACACTGAAATTTTGTTAAACTTAAATTCTACATTCTACATTCTTAAATTCTACATTCATCGGAGGGTAAACGTGAAGGCATAAGAAGTATTCTTTGACCTCTGCTCCTTGGAAAACAAATCAACTTGCTCCATACTGTAGCTGGGAGAAATAAACGGGTTTCCCCTAACTAAAATAACAAAAGTGTAGGCAACGTTTAACAACATAAAAAGCGATCTCTGGTGCTATTTTACGTAAACATGACTACGCTCTGGATGAAAAAAATCTTTGCTTTTTTGAAGGGTCACCTGCAGAGCCCCTCACTGCAATGGCATAACAGGTTGGGGCTGGTACTAATCTAATGCCTTTTGAAGTTATAACTAATAACGCGACAGAAAGATAGCTGGACAATATTACGAACGTTACAATGATCACGCTCATGCTAGTGAGCCCGGAAAGGCTGAAATATGTTTGTTGTTCTCAGGTACACTTTTCACCTACTACGAAGCAAAGATATTTATGCATAATATTAACAACCAAGTTATATTAACAATCAGTTCGTAAAGGAAAGGCCCGGGGACGGAGGAATGCCATATAAAAGGGACGGGGGTACTTGTCGGAAATTTGGAAAACAAAACCCTACGAGGTACCAAGATCCTGTTTCGTGGGCGTGGCTTGAGATGTTTTTCACCCCTAACAAGTACCAGATCTAAAATAACACTTTATCTCCTGTCATATATTATTCGGCTCAATACCTTAAAAGATAGCACAAAAGCTCCTGCAGTGGTCCTTTTGGGCTGAGCACCTTAACAGGCACCAAAACCGCGCTTTTAACCCCTAAAAGGTATGACGAGCAACCCAGTCCTTTTTATATGGGAGTCCCCCCCCCCCCCGGGGGGAAGAAAGGTCGCAAAACAAGTCTTTGTGCCGACAAACGGCACCTGGTCACTTATGATATCACAAAATGTCTCCACAAGAGACAGTGTTTATTAATTACATTTCAATGTTTAAATGGCATTTAGACAAGCTCACTGAGAAATAATCAAGCTGTTCAACAGTGACTGTCATTGTATAGTATGGCAGGAGTTCATTACATATGGAAGCTCCGGGTGATGGTTAATCTTTTCTACATGGTGTTTGTGCGATCTCCGTTCAAGCTTTTGGGTCTATAAAAGAAAGTCATACCATTCTTTTATACTTCTACATGATTTTCATGCTCAAAATTTCTTCTTGAATTTCATTCCTCTAAATTTCAAGCTCTCTTGCGCATCCTCTTTGATACACTTCTACTTGACACACGAGAAAATCAAACAAAGAGGTTAAGCTTGTAACTGACTTTCTATAGCGATTGGAAAAACCTTCAGCACCATTTCGTCAACCTTAAAAATTTCATTAGCTGAATATTTATTGAACATTTCCTACCCTCCTTTTTCCCGTCAGTTTTAATGTCACTTCACACGATTTCCTAAGAATAGTAAACATCATTAATTTAGAGGGATTCCCAAATCGCGATGAAATTAAATCACTACTAAAATAATATACATCATACATATTATACTATGACAGCAAAGATATTCTCAGTTTCAGGCAGCAAAAAGACCACCCGGTTGCAAATTGAGCTTAGTCGAGCGTGGTGTAGTATATGTAGTCAGTGGTGCATGAAGTGGAATTAGTGATTGTTGTAGTTGTAGGGGAAATGGTGCAGTTCGTCAGGTATTAGAATTAGTGATAGCTGAAGCTCTATAGTATAAATAGTGTTAGTTAAAGTTTTAGCAGTGTAGTTAGCGGCTTTATTGGTGAACTTCGCAGTTGCATTGGAAATGAATCGAGGATAGTCGAAGTTGCAGGGGAAGTGGTCCACGGCACCTCCGAAGTTATTGTTGACTTAACTGGATTCAATGCACTGTATTTTATAATTGCTATTCAAGTTATTGTCCCAAAACTCTTGACCGCCAATGCAATAACGAATCGCAAATTTAATTTCTAGATCGACGGCAGAATCCATTGGAACTGTAACACGAAACCAGAACTTATCCGTTTTTCCATCCATGCTTGAGGAGAGATAATCCGCCCAAATATCTCGATAGGACTTCCAGTTATCTGGCGTGAATCTCACTATCACTTCTTTAGCGAAACCTATGTTAGTTACTCGAATACTTCCAGTAACAACAGAGTAATGGCATACAATGCTTTCGAGGCAAACATTCTGACTGTAAACACGTTCGAAGAAAGAGCTTGTTTTATAAGGCTCGGTAAAACTTGGAGACAAGTACTTCCCTAATGGTTGTGGACTTGGCAAACTTCGGCTGTAGTTGTTGTTGACGTTCCACAAGTTACTGGTGTAAATGTTAACATAATCTTCTCCACTGTGTGGTGGAATTATTTTTACAAATTCGAGCGTGAAGCCAGCCGCATCTGCAAAGGAAACTCTCTTCTTGATCTTAGACATACAGGTGCTGCTTATTTCATTCATCCGCTTTCGCTTGATACGATCCGTCAAGTGACTTTTGGATAAAGTGAAGCTTTGCGTTTACAATACATCTTTTTGAAGGGTTCACCCACAGAGCCACCGACTCAGCGCCGTGGCGTAACACGTTGGGGCTGGTACTGAGATACAATGCCTTTTGAACTCATAACTCCCATATAGCTAACACACAACGAGAGTTGTACAAAAATTACGAACGTCGCGACTAACTCATGTTAGTAAGCCCGAAAGGAGCTAAAATATGTCTGTTACTCTCAGGTGCACGACTCGCTTGCCACGCAGCAAAGATATTTTAAAATGCTGAAAACTAACAACCAAGAGGTTATCAGTTCATGAAGCAAAGGTCGCAAAACAATTCTTTGTGTTGACAAATCACACTCATCACTTATCACTAATCGCAACAGATCACTTTGAAATAGATCTAGTGTATCCTGCAATATAGGAAAGAAGCACACTATTACGAACGATGTTGAAGTCGCATTTAAACAGGCGCAGAAATAATCAGTTTAGTTGTTATTATCATATATATTAGGTTAATGTTCTGAAAGGATGTTTGTGATTTCGTTTTAAAAGTCAGAAATATGTTCAATTTCGTGGTGTGCGAACATGCGCATTTGATACGTTTTAAGTGCATAACAGGAAGTACTCATATCACACTTTTAAGTACTGCCACATGACTCACGATATCTCATTTTCATTGGCAACTGTTCAATTGAATGGTTCCAACGTTCAAGCCTTCTCATTTCCATTTCACGGCATCTACTACAGACAACGGAAATTGGCTTTGGTTACCATGTCATCGGCCTTGCCTGTTTTTACCAGCTTACTTCAGCACCTGAATATGTAATACCCTCCTTCTCCTCCACACCCCACCCCCTCCACTCCGTTTAATGCTTTTTCAGTGAGAGGAAGTAAACAAAAATAACAAAAACACAAGATATGGCCTATGTGTAGGCTCTCGTACGTTGCGGTACAAGCAAACAGGTAAGCCGAAGCGGGCCAGGCCCCGACTCGCTCCCCACGCCGACTCGTCTCTCGCGTCCTCTCCTTCTACGCGTACGGGTCTCCGCAGCCGTTGTTAAACCTTGGTAGAGTGGAGTTACATACTGGTAACTTAGTACACAGAAATAGTGCTAGCAGTTGTAAATGCTAGAGAAGTTTATATATGATGTTAATGAAAGTGGCATTGGAGGAATTTTTTGCATGGGAAAGTAGTAAAATGAGCTGATACAGTTTCAGCTGTGGAAAAGGGGTGGAACTAGAAAGTCATTGTGTTATTTGTAGAAGTAATAGGAGTTGCTCAAGTTTTGAATTTGATCATAGTTGCAAAGACGTTTTAAACTGAGGTAGTGGTAGTGGAATAGTTATAGGGAACGGAGACTTAAAGTTGCCGCAATCTAAAATCAATCAAATCTTCGAATATCCGTTGGCTACATTCGGGCTATATATAAGTCAGCACGATCCGAAATATCTGACTCTTAACTTGCATGATTCCATTTCAGCCCTTCTTTCTATATTGTTGGGACTCAAAATCCTGAATTAATTTTCATAATTACTAAATCTAGGGCTGTCACTTGTTTCACTACCAAAAACCATTTGTTCCATTTCTGCCACTAATTCCACTACGGAGCCACCACAGCCAATACAACTAACTATATAACTTACTCCAACTCCACCAAACCAAACATTGTCACTACAACTATCACTTCCTCTCCTACAATCAACCTCAACTCTATACCACATTTACTCCATAACTGCCAGAACAAGTCGATGTACCACTATCACCATTATGGCAATTCAATTGTCATCTGACTGCCATTATGTTCAATTAGCATAGGCACTAATTCCACGGGAACTAGCGCCCTAAATGCCTTTACAACTCAGTAGCGCTATCACTAAATCCACTACCTCTTACTACAAGTAGTATAGTAGCAAATCATGAATTAAAGTTGAAGTGACCATTGCGCAGCTACTTCTACTGGAAAACGCACAGGTAGTTGTGTAGTTAATAACAGTAATGAAACAGTGGCAGCTGTTTGGTCATTGGTAGTTGAATGGCAATTGGGGAAGTCGCAGCAGCAGCAACAGTAGTAGTAGTATCGCAACGTTCGAAGAAAACAATAGTGAAGAGGCTGGTTAGTAGCTAGCGATATGACGTTCTGTCATGCACTATTTCATTGACAACGTAAATCACAAAGAAAATATTCACAGAGCGTCGTGCTTCAAAAAGAAATTACTTGACGGTATTTGTCTGACAATCATCGTGTCCATAAAAAAGACACTCAGTGACACTCATTTCGTCTGAAGCCGGGAAAGCCTTCTTAGGGTGTCTTAAGTCACTATTGACATGTTATAACTGTATCGATTTTTTAATTTCAATTCAACTGAAGTTATTCAGTATCCCCAATGCAAGAACGAATCGCAAGTTTAATTTTTAAATCGACCGCAAAATCCAATATAAAACCAGAACTTATCGGTTTTTCCATTCATGTATGCTTCACGAGAAACATTCCGCCCAAATATCTCAATAGGACTCCCAGTTATCTAGCATGAATCTCATCACATCTTAAGCGAGACCCCAGGCTATGTTTGTCACTCGAATGCTTCCAAAAACAACAAAGTCATCTCATACAATGCTTTCGAGACAAACATTTTGACTTTAAACACGCTCGAAGAAAGAACTTGCACGATTCGGTAAATCACGGAGACAAGTTCTTTTTTCTCAGTCTAGAACCAAACCGGAAACGACCACTAACTGTGACACTTCTACAGCAACTACAACCACCAGCATTTCCATTACTACTAACTTAAACTAAATCACGTCCACAACAACTACAACTATCACAATTCCATTACAACTAATAACTGCACGATTTTCTCTACAACTACAGCTATCACCAGTTAATTCCACCACCACTAACTGCACCACTTCCACAACAACTGCAACTATCAGCAGTTCCACTAACACTAACTTCACCACTTCTACAACAACTACAACTATCACAATTCCACCACCACTAACTGCACCACTTCCACAACAACTACAACTATCACAATTCCATTACAACTAATATGACTGCACCATGATCTCCACAACTACAGCTACCACCAGTTAATTCCACCACCACTAACTGCACCACTTCCACGACTGCAACTATCAGCAGTTCCACTACCACTAACTTCCCCACTTCTACAACAACTACAACTATCACAATTCCACCACCACTAACTGCACCACTTCCACAACAACTACAAATAAAATAAATAAAAGACTTTATTTAACCTGAAAGGCCAATCAGTAATCACAGGATCACTGGTATTAACTGGCGATCAGCATTTACATATAAAATACAGCTATTCATAAAATTGTACTTTAAAAAAAAAAAAAAATCATGAAGATATATATAGTACACGTTTACATTAAAAATTACAACCATTGTGGAGATTATGTAAAAACAAGCATTTAAAAAGAAGAGCAGCAACAACAAACAGACAAGCAAAAAATTGAACCTAATTTACGGTACATACATGATTGATACGGTCTTGATCCATAAAATGCTTTAAAATATGTGTTTTAAACTTGGAAAGAGTAATTCCACTACCAGCAATTCCACTACCACTAACTACCACTAACTCCACCACTTCTACAACAACTACAACTATCAACCGCATCATCTCCCCTAAAACAAAAACTGTATCACCAATTCCATTACCACTAACTACACAATTTCACGACAACTACAGCTATGGGCAAGTCCACTAACTGTACTACTTCCCTTACAACTACAACTAAACTTCACAACAACCACTCTCTGCACCACTTCCCGAGCAACTACAAGTATCACTAGTTCTACTGCATCTCCGCAACTAAAACTATCACTGGCTCCTTTACCAGCTGCATCATGGCCACTAAATCTGCAACCACTTATTCTACTGCCGTGCACCAACTCCATCACTGTCAACGGCTACAAATGGAAATAACACCAATTCCACTATCACCAGCTGAGCTTCACCGCTGGTGATACTGAGTGGATTAGTGGTAGTTCCATTCGTAATGGCAGTGATGGAGTTGGTGCCAATACAACTAACTACATAACTTACTCCACCTCCACCAACCCAGTCAGTGTCACTACAGCTATATCTCCTCTTTCCCTACTATCAACTTCTTAACCGACATTGCCCTTACAGCTACCTCAGCCGACAATAATTCCAATACCACATTATTACATAACTGCCAAAATCAAATACATGTACGACGGGCAGCAATAATTCCACTGTCACCTTAACACTGCCATTATATTCAGCTACCACATGCAGTGGCACAAAGTCCACTGCAACTAACGCCCTGACGTGACCTTTACAACGCAGTAGCGCTGACCACTATGCCACTTACTACAAGTAGTAGAGTTGTGGTACAATGGTAATAGTACAGTTAAAGTTGAAGTGACCACTGTGTAGTTACTTCTCAGTACTGGAAAGTGTACAGGTAGTTGCGTGGTTAATAGTAATGAGGCAGTGTATTTGGTCAGAGGCAGTTGAATGGCAATTGGGGAAGTTGCAGTAGCGGTCGTAATATCTCTTTTAAACATGACCATATTGAATTATTACAGCATTGCATAACTCTCGAAGTTGGTTGAATTACTTTATTTTATGTTGTTCAGACGATGTTTTTGAAAGATTAACTTCCCAGGAAAACGTTTATAATGGACACGAAAAACTGGCCCGACGGAAGCCGAGCTTCTTGGTAGTTTGTAAAGGAAGATATCTGAGGTCCCATTAGGGGTTTTAGGGATACGGGATATTTGCGAAAAAAAATTATAGGGATACGGGATATTTCGGGGAAAAATTATAGGAATACGGCATATTTAGAAAAGAGAGAGTGGGATATCGAACGTCAAAGTTTTCTTTTTTGACAGAATACAAACTACAGGAATTAATGGGATACGGGATATTTGGGACAAAAATTATTGGGATACGGGATATTCAGATTCCCCCCCCCCCCCCTAATGGGGCCTCGTATCTGGTAAACATAATGGCGAAAATCGTATCGATGTCATACTTGTCATTAATATTGCGTGAAATTGTTTTCTTAATCTGTCAAATACGTATTTCGGACATTAGAAACAGGAAAGGAAATAAATTTCGTTCTCAATTTGATTTGACTATGAATACCGTGACTAATCTCCCGACAACGTGTCGGTGAAAATCGCAATTCTATAGTTACATCGTACGAGAAAAACAGTAATGAAGAGGCTGGTTACTAGCTAGCGATGTGACGTGCTGTCATGCACGATTTCATTAACAACGTAAAACACAAAGAAAATATTCACAGAACACCTTGCTTCAAAAAGAAACTATAGACGGTATTTGTCTCACTATCATCGTGTCCGTAAAAAGGTCACTTAGCCGCATCGGTATGACTATATATTTTATATTTCGCTTGAAATTATTGACATGTTTCAATGAATTGTATTTTATAATTTCTATCCAAGTTATTGTCCCAAAACTCTCGGCCGCCAATGCAATAACGAATCGCAAATTTAATTTCTAGATCAACCGGCGAATCCACTGGAACTGCAATACGAAACCAGAACTTATCCGTTTTTCCATCCATGCTTGACGAGAAATAATCCGCCCAAATATCTCGATAGGACTTCCAGTTGTCCAGTGTGAATCTCACTGTCAGTTCTTTAGCAAAGCCTATGTTTGTCACTCGAATAGTTCCAGCAACAACAAAGTCATCGCATACAATGCTTTCGAGACAAACATTCTGACTGTGAACACGCTCGAAGAAAGAGCTTGTTTTGCACGGCTCGGTAAAACACGGAGACAAATTCTTTCCTCTCGGTCGTGGACTGGGCAAACTTCTGCTGTTGTTGTTGTTGACGTTCCACACGTTACTAGCACAAATGGTAGCATTATCTTCGCCACTGCGTGTGGGAATAGTTTTCACGGATTCGAGCGTGAAGCCAGCCGCATCTGCAAAGGAAACTCTCTTCTTGATCTTGGACATAGAGGTGCTGCTTATTTCATTCATCCGCTTTCGCTTGATACGATCCTTCCACTGACATTGTGAGTCGGTCTGTCCGTCAGTCAAGATCTTAGCTAGAAATTCGACGCCTACGCTTGTTCGCCTCGTTCTTTGTCTGGTGGTGTAAAAGCCGGTATCGCGTTGTTGTCGCTTCGGATTGAAATTGGTGACGTCATTGCCGGAACGACGAACTTGAGCGAAGGCTACACACATATACACATAAAAAAAGTGTGCTACAGAACAGCTATCTTTGCAACCGAGAGAGGCAAACATTTCAGGGATTACGAATGCAACACCACATAAACGGCTACAACTCAGCTATTGACCTGATTAATATATCTGGACCCTTCGTCGATTAATATGAGCGCGTTCCGAGTTACCTTTGAGTTACTATGTCTTCAGCTTCCTCGTACAATTGAGCAGATTCAGTGACTTACAGACAGTAATTGTCAATTTAATACAGGCCGCTCTATTCAGTTCTAAGGTTCTCCGTATGCACCTAGGGCTGTGGAGCAGGTGAACAAGTAAAGAAAAATTTAAACCCTGTTCGACAGACAATGCCAGCAATCGGTTTCAACGGTTTCCAAAAACGTTAAACAAGGGATTTGAAACCTTGCTGGAAGGTCTCTGAGTTCATATCGCCTCATCAAAAGTATAAATGTTTATATGCACGGAAACATCCTTGTATAAAATTAACTGACAGGAGTTGCAACTGATTGATCGATTTTGTGCGAATTTATTGGGAAACAGACTATAAAAATCAGAGGATTACGGTAACACTGTAGGAAATTTTTGGACTGAAAAAAAAAAGATAATCTTTTCGGGTTGTTTTGTTGGTGTAATCGACTCTCATCTTTGAGAACATGTGAGTGTCAATATAAAAACTGGCTGAAGATTTCTTACTTAAACTTGATCCAGATACTTTGATAAGAGCTGAGAGTTCAGAGATGTTCGTTTTGATTTAGCCTCGCTCAATATAAATTCAAGATGTCAGTTCCTTTTTGCGATTGCTGCAATTTCTTTCAATGCTTCTTAATATAAGTTGTGTGAATATGATGGTTCATAGCAACAATGTATTCCTATTCTCCTATATCAGTCTTCTCGGGTCTGCTAATAATCCAGAGACAACATGTAAGATCGCTATTTGAAGAGACTGAGTCAGATCAGTGTAGATACTGAAAATCTCTTCAGTAGAGCACAGAAGTAAAGATATAGCAGTACGTTCATTCTCAGCTGACTTTAATACAGCTTTCGAATTTCTTTGTTAAATTGACCCTACCATAGTTTCGCATGTGGTATCAGCCTACAGCCAGTAATAAAATGTTCTTTAGAGTGTACGATGAGACGTCATCGTCTTCTTGATAATACTTTGTTTTCTGATGTAGTTCTGCATGCGATCACTTGTCTCTCCATTGCTGCCGTTATTCTGGGAAGTTGCTAGTTTTCCCTCGTTACATTTGAAGGTTCATGTTTGTTTTTCTTGTACCTTTACTGACAAGTCGTCAGTTGACATTGCTAGTACTGTATTTATTGTGTATTCATTTTGTTTCAATTGCCGCACGTATTCCGACACCGTTTTCATGAGTCTAAGGACAATTTTTTCATATTTCGAATTGATTGCTTTCTTGCGAAAAAATTGGACGTCGATTGCACTTCGGAAGGGATACTATCTCACACGGTTTTGACTCGGCTATCAAAGGCTTGGTCGCTTCATGGTCGTTCGTGACGAAACCACGTGGAACGATCGATATAATAGAGAAAGCAAACCACAACGGTAACGGCACCAAACAATAGGCTTAATGAGTACGGCAATGGCTGTGCACGTGCGTTAGCAACCTTTGTACCTTTCCTCTGGAAAACAATAACGTGAAATGACTAAGTTCTGCGTATTTTGGAGAACGCAAAGGATGGTGGCGAACTTTTTGTCGTCTTATTTGGAATTGAATGCTGGCGTTACATATTTAGCTTGAGCTTGTTCTGAGACCACTAGGCACGCTGAACAGATCTAGACAATTGCGAAATTCGAAGGTAAAATTAAATTCATTTTTTTACCAGGCGTTGTCCCTGGGGTCTCCGTCATCAATGCTTAAGCTCTCTACTAATTCCACTTGTACCGCGAGAAATTTTTACGTTGTATTAATTATATTGGCCGCCGGATCTTTGCTGTTGTGCGCTCAATTTCACGGTATAACAAATATTCCTGTTTTCTACATTTATGACTCATGGAGTGTAATAAAGTGTAATCAAAAGTGGCTAATGAGTTGGATTTTTATTTTAACTCTAAAAAGATATTAACTGGCTATTTATCCAAGCCTACGCAGTTTTTCCTGTTCGGTCTGCAAGGCCAAGTATCACAGTATTTGGCTCCAACTTATTAAATTTAAGAAAACGAAATGACATAATTCATTGATTACAATTTACATGCATTTCCATAAGTTGTTTTCTGAGTCGGATCTGTGATTATAATCCTTGAGTACATTGTCTTGCCTGACCAACGTTTTTAGTCTCTATTTCTTGTCATCGACATACTGTAGGACCTATGGTTTGGTTTTAATACTCGTTTAAAAAACTGAGAAGATCAAACCCCCGGGATAATTTTTTTCCAGCCAGCAGTTTTTTTCTGCTAAACAAAAACATTAAGAAAATGTTTTAGCGAGGCAACAGATGTTACATAATAGCTAAGTTGTTCGTTTACAATTCCACACGGAAGGTCGGTGTTGAGGATAGTTGCACCAAATTTTTCTCCTAGATGTTGTTTTCAATTGCCTTGTGTTCAACGAAGCATGTTCTACTAATTATAGTGGAACCCGGTCCAAGATGACGAACCTCAGGGGAAAAAATGTAAAAAAGCCACCAAATTGTCCGCGCTCTCTTCAGTTATTTTAAAACGCATAGACTGACTTGTCACGTAACTCCGCAAAGCGAAAACATCAACCCACAGACGTTTGGCATCATGACAAATTCGTTATATCTGGGCTGCTCCATTTTCTCTTGATATTGGCATTCCTTTTTACGGTTTCGTGCAAATGCAAGGCAAAGGAAACAGTTACTAATGAAATTTTAAATTTCACAATCATTTCAATAATTGTACTCATCGAGGTTTGGTCAAATTCGCTCGCACAAAGATTACCATCTTTCCTCAGTTCAGTTTGTTCTGTTTCTGTAACGATGTTTCTATAATTGTTCAGGAAAGACTTCTGAACACTGAATATGATAATTTTTTCTGTCATTATTGTCCCAAAACTCTTGGTCGGAAGCGCGATAACAAATTGCAAACTCCATGTGTCGATTTACTTCAAAGTCATGAGGTACAGTGACACGAAAGCTAAACTTGTCTGTTTTTCCATCCGTACAAGAGGACATATAATCAGCCCAAATGTCCCGATACGTTGCCCAGCCGTTGAATGTGAATCTCACCGTAACCTCTTTAATGAAAGATAAATTTGTCACTCGAATAAGCCCAGTGACAACAAAGTTTTCGCACGCAATGTTCTCCAAGCAGACATTCTGGCTGTAAACTCGCTTCATAAAATTGTCTGTTTGTTCTGCAGGTCGAACGAAGCACGGGAACAGACATTTTATCCGTCTCCTTGGCAAATTTTCGTTGATATCACAATGACTTTTCCTCGCACCGATCGCGGAGCATAGGTTGTCATCGCTGCTACATGGAGTAATGATTTTAACGAATTCAAGCTTGAGTCCAACCAGGTCCGCAAAGCAAACTTTTTTCGTCGCGGAGGTTGGACTGGGTAGCCCAGAGCCTTGTCCGTCCGCCTTCATTGCTGTGCAACTCTCGGACGATTAGTTCTCTAATAGGTGATGCTGTTGTTCGGGCGAATTCCGACAGATGACGTCAGCTTCGGAACCTAAGATTGAAGGTGGAACGAAATTTTCCACCATAAACGACTTATATTCTTGCTAGCACACTCCATAAAAAGAAATTGATGTTTTTTTTTAAAGTGGGAACCAGTTGTTTTTCATTGCTTCTATATAATTTTAACCAGCCAGAGCGAAACAAGAATTGACAACCAGAGCAATGTTTATCCAGGGAGCTCGCCGAAGTAGTTTTGAGCAGAGCTCAGTAAAGTCATAATACAATAATACGAGACTTTTAAAAGAAAATTGAAAAATTGTTACTTACGGTTATCCCAAAGCTTTCCTTTCACTTTTAAAACAATTGAGACAACATTCCCCAGATCATGGAAAGCAAATGTTCTCCGGACAGGCATNATAATACGAGATTTTTAAAAGAAAATTGAAAAATTGTTACTTACGGTTATCCCAAAGCTTTCCTTTCACTATTAAAACAATTGAGACAACATTCCCCAGATCATGGAAAGCAAATGTTCTCCGGACAGGCATTGGCACACTTTGCGGCACGTGCGAGAAATGAATCGGGTTTTATAACCATGGTTTGGAGGTCAACAGTGACGTCAGTAAAAAAAAAACGTGTCATAAGTCATGGAGATGGAAACAACTGCGGGAAAGGAATGTAATGGAACTTCGATGCTTCCACCTAATTTCCTTTCATGTGAACACCCGCTATAGTCGAAGCAGTCGCATCTAACAATTCGTTAACTTTCGTGGAGAAAAAGTTAAATTATATGAAAAAAAGCAATGTCCATATATGCAAATTTTAATTCAGTTTCAAACAGCGACAATATGTGACGTCACACCTTGAATCGTGCGTGAGCAAGCGTCGCGCGCTGACCGTGAAATATCTCGAACAAAATATTTTTAGAAGCCTTTTCTAGCTTAAAGTTCAAGTTCACCACTCTTTGCAATATACTCAGGCGTGACACTGTTGGACATCTAGCGGAATTGAATCAATGATCTGAATGTTGTAAGGTTTGATTTGGGACGCAACATCATCGTGAGCATTAGCTGTTATTTTCGTCGTTGACCGGAAGAAGATGTCTCTCTAAATGGAAACATCAAAGGTAATATCAAAAGAGTGCCGATGAGAAAACTGACAGCCTTCAGGCCTTGTTTTTCAAGTTTATTTTTTATTGACATTTTTTTCTCGCGCGAAACTTTCCGCCTTAAAACTGTATTGGACCACCACTGTCTACACTGAAAAACTAATCAAGTTGCCTGTTTGGTGAACAATACGTGCTGTTCGGTATTATTCTTTTCTCAGAAGTCATCAGTTACCAAACTGAAGTTCCATATATATTCTAAAAACCCTTGCTCGTAAAATTTTGGTGGTTTGCACCGCTAAAACGTCGAACGTGAAGAAGGCATCTGTAGCAAAGTAAAGCTCAGTTGTGTTGACCCATCACTTTCAGTCTTGACATAAGAACATCAATACCAACTAATGAATTTACATACATGTAATTTCACTGTCATTTCAAATGTAAATCTACTTGAATATTATACGTATATCTTACCTGCGCCGGAAATCGTGCCTGTTCGCAGACTAAATACATTATATTACATGAAGGGAGACTTCTCACGTGAGGGGCGCGGTACGGGCGGCGATCGCGAGGATGGTGAATCCCACCTCTGACTGGTGACTTCCCCCTTAAATAATTGGTTGAAATGACGTTGTTTTAACCACAAAACAGAATGTTTCGCGACAATCTGATGTCCTGAAATTCAATAAAATATGATTCCGACTGAAGCCGTAAAATTGGAAGGTAAACAGTACAACATCACTTATGCAGTAAATCATGCACGAAACGGTCGTTACTAGTTGATACAATCGACATCTTAACTCTAGTCCTAGGCAACAAAAACATGTTTTATTTCAGGGTTTCCCTGGAAAATTTCTCTAGCAACTTGCGTGGCAGCAGAATTATAAGTTGCACAGGTATGAAACTAAGTATAAGATATATACTTCCAGAACTCTCAAAATTCAAGCATTTACTCGATGTTTCCATGGCGACTGTCTGTCCATCCAAATTTGGAGGCTTCTTACTTAATTTTCTTAGTTAAATTAACAAAATTTTTAAAACTTTCATGGAGTTGCTTCTAAACTGTTAAGACTTTTTACCACTGTTTTTGGTTTTAATTCGTTTTTAATGGTTTTATGGAATCATGAAATTCAGGATAACGCATCCAAGTGGTTGGCTGTTTGGACACCATTAGGTGACTAATCATACTATATGCAACTTACTAGCACTGCGAAGCAGTTTTATACATTGAGTTTCTTTATCATGTTATTATAATTGAAATTACAAGCGAGGACAGTCCCCCCTCCCCTTAGTAGAAAGAGATGTCTTCTCGCCTGAAGGAAGCATCAGTTATTATCCAATTTCGTGCAAATCACAGCTTAGCCAAATTCCTTTCTGATCTTCTTGAGTGGAGCATCCTTGTGCATTTACGCGCGGTTATTTTCTGTGCTTTACCCTATTATTCCTCACCCTATTAACCACTGTAGCTGGCAAAGACACTGCGGAATTTTTAATAGTTTCCATCAATTGTCACATAATAAAACTGCGTAACTCGACAGCTCCTTTACGATATTTGCTAAAATAATTACGATCACGATTTGTCACGCAAAAGACAGTGGGGCAAAGAAGTCACGCGACCATCGTCTAACTTTCAAAACAAACGAGCCTGGGATAATAAAAATGCTTAAAGGGCTTCCGTAAAAAGCCAGCACATGTACACAGGTCCGTAGGCGGCAGTTTACTAACATCTCTGAGGTTATTGGCAGAGGAAATCGTGTTAGAAAAGGCCACACTTTAAGTACAAAGTCTTTAAAACATTACTGTTTTTGAGTGCCACGATTTGAACACGTGTATTCTTCAAGATTTGACAGCTTTTGACACTGATTGTGATGTCCATATTTATTTAATTTTCAATTCTAAATTTCTAATCTGTACAACAAAGGCGATTTCCGAGTTCGTTGAATTGCACTGTTAGAATATGTCTTATCTTCTTTGTTTCAACTAAATGTTTAATACCACGAATTTCGAAAAATATTCTCTAACATATAAATTTACATTTCATATAAATAACTGATTGATATCTTTAAGGGAATATGATTTTGTGTTCGCTTTTAGCATAAATTAAACACTAACTCAAAAGTTCGTGAATACCGTAAAATAATGTAGTTATTTTAAGGAAATATCGTCCTTTATATACTTTGCGGAGAGAAACAGCCAATTTCCCTCTCTCTTCAGAAACGTCTTGAGACAACGAATACGGAAATACAACAAGTGTATTCTTGGTAACAGACTAATTTCAGAGGTGAATTATGTTGACCTGAAATTATGGTAGATATGTACCTGACAACTCTTTGCACAAATAATATTTGGAGTTGTAGACTCTAGCTACTTTGCTTGCAAACACAAAATCCTTCCTATAGCTCTGAACGGTTTGTTGCTCAAAATGACAACAAGGAGAACTCGACGTGGACTACTCAGTTAATATATGCACAGCAAGGTCAGGCAAATTATTTATCGACGATGGTGTGAAGAAAACATTCCGCACAATAATTTCGCTTAAAATTGTTGTCCCAGTATTCTTTTCCTGCCGTACAATATCGAATGGCGAACTCAAGCTTTCCCCCAACATCCAAGTCTTGAGGAATCGAAATTCTGAACTGAAATCTGTCGGTTTGACCATCCGATGACTTCGGCACATAGTCTGCCCACACATCACGATAGCTGTGCCATCCGTCCACCGTATATCTCGCTGTTACTTCTTTAGCGAAGGCAATGTTTTTTACTTTTACAGTCCCAACCATCGCAAAGCCACAGAAAACAACGTTCTCCAGACACACCTTTCGCTCAATCACGCGATCAATAAACTTTTCTTCGGACGCAGGTTGGGTGAAGCAACAACTCATTCGTTTTAGGTGAATCGGCGTTGAAATATGGCTTAAAATATCCAACTTTTTATCAAGCGATAGGTCCTCCTCGCTGTTTGCCGGCGTGATCATTTTCACTGACACCAAATCCTGGCCGTCAAAGTCTGCAAAGTGAACTCGCCGTTTCGAATCCAAACTCGTTGGCGAGTGTAGCGGCGAGTTCGCCGTATTCTCCTGTTGTTCTTTCATTACCTTCACTGATACATTTCCCCCCAAACAAGGAAAGCAAACGTTATTATTGGAATCCAGGACTAGTTTAAGCGTGAACAACCCGTTGATCGTTACATTATGTCATGGCGGCTTTTGACTGCCGCTCCTGTACGCTAGCATATTTACATTCTTCCTCCGCAGTGTCCGTGACTTAGTGCATGTATGACTGAATCGAATCTCTTTCAGAAAGCGTGACGTCATTTGCATGTTTATGAGGGATCCCGTCAAGACTATCCATCACTTACGTCAACAACCCAAGAAACCACAAAACCACAAAGCGATACTGTCCAGAATTCACATTCACTGTGCAGAGAAGATAAGTTGTACTCTCATTTGACCGAGCAAAGAAAAACTGGAAGTTCTAAATATATCTTGAGTGTAGAAGTCAACGGAATATTGATTTAACTTTTTGTTATCACGTTATCAAATCTGTTTCTCTCAGACGTCTATGAAATGTCGGATCATTTCCTTTTACGGGATCGAGAACAATTATCTGAGAAGAAAATGTCAATTTTTGTTGATGGAAGATTCACCTTAGCAGAAGTGTCCGCATGAGTTCCACTTCCGGTCCTTTCCTTCCCTCTAGATGACTACTAGATGGCGTGTTTACTGTGGCATCCAAATCAGGAGGAAAAAATAGACTCATTGGTTAATAAAGGTGATAATAGTTTATTTACAGCACAAAAGTGAAAGCTACTTACATAACCTTCAGCATTTGTCTGTAGAGAACCTCTGTCCCTTGAGGATGGTACACTGTATGTTAATTTTCAGATTATTATAATAAATATGCTTAAAATATACTTCAAGGACTTCATACAGAGTGGACTGAGCATACCGCCAGATTTGTCTGCTTTCAAATTATGTGTGTGTTCACAGGATATGTATTTAAGTGCAACAATGTGCCTGTAGTAATTAAGAGTGGGGTTTACTAAATTATGCTTGCTTGATGTGATGCTACACTATTTCAGTTCAGCAGAGCTCATAATTTCTATTTCACACAGAAGGAAAGGTGAAGTCTTTACTATCCCTATTAAGAANTTTTCATTGTGCAATTAAACTTAAAATTTAAATGTTGATTAGGATAATGTCTGTTTTCAACAGCCATGTGAGAATGTTTAGGGATTTTAAAAGGTCAAGAACAGTTTTTTGCCAAGTTTCTGTTCTCTATTTATCATTTTGACCCCCTTGAACTCAGTTGAAAAACATGCCTCACATCTATTTTTGTAATAAAAATAGTGTGAAAGTCAAAACAACAATACTGCATATACTTTTTAGAAGAGCTTAGCAGTGCAAATTTGGAGTAAGTTCTTAGGTATCATTTAAATCAATATTCAATGACTCCATTCATACAGTGTAATCAACAATATTGCAATGCAGATTGAAACCAAATTTGTTAACATATTCATTACATTAGATGTTATTGAGAGGAATTATGCTTGACTGGTTTTGACTTTAACCATGAAACATGGAAAGCAACAATTAGTAGAAAGAGCTGAAGTGCTTCAATTAAATAATACCAATAAGGTGTTTAATCCAAATAGGTTCAGATTGTTCGCTTTAACTTTTAGAAGTTCAAAGTATCAATGCTTCTCATTCAACCATCAAAACAATGATGGTCTAAGACAAGTTTCTCCGTTTCTAAACCATCATTGACAGTGTAGAACAGTCTGTTTAATGATAAAGAAAAAATTCATGCAAGAGCAATGTAAATCTGGTGCATGATGATTAAAATAGAGACATGGTTTGAAATCTAGTCAAACGACTATGCTCTTGTCTAGCCAACAGTTCTTTTTCAATGTACCATAAATGCCGGCAGATAAGCTGCACCTAATTACTCAATATTTTCTCAACAAATTTAGGATGCGGCCAATGTCTGGGAGAACATCTGGACAGCGTGACATAAATTTGCATAAATTAATGCTTTCCATTGAAACTAAGTCTGTATGGCAAACTAAAAAGAACTTCATCACACTATACCAGAGTACGCATTGATCATTGTGTAAATTGTAAGTTTGGTGGCTTACATGGGTTTACATTCCATGAATCAACGAAATATGTAAGCTTATACATGTAACACATCTTTCTTAAGACTCCACTTCTGATTTATTTTGATATCTTTTAAAAATCCTTTTTTCCAAAATTTGCGTTCCCAAACTCAGGGTGCAGCTTGTCTACAAGTACGGCTTATCCACCAGGGTTTATGGTAATTACGTTGTGGTTGAGTGAGTTCATCAGCCATACATTTTTTAAGCGATGTTTTGAAATGTCAAGCAAAGAATCCAAACCAAGCTGAAGCTAAAACTTACTCTTAATTTGACTGTAATACCTACTATGCAGCGCTGTATTTACAGTAAGCACAATGCTAAACCCTAAAACAACTTTCCTCATCCAAGGCAAATCTGATCTAAGGAGCCCTTAAACAATAATCAGTAAGTAGGTACTACTAATACTTGTTAACTACAAGTTACTGTTCAGAAAAGCTCATGTTATACACTTGCCAGCACTAGGAGAGAGGAGGAGATGCATTTTGGTTGAACCTGTCACTCACAACATCATTATGGTGTGTCAAAATGTGGTATGTACGTGTTAAAACGGTGCAATAGGTGCAGTAACAAAGTAAATAAGGGCTGTTGACCATGTGTCACCCTGCTGTAATGCCCTCATACTGACACGCAGACCACTCAGTATCTGTGGCATTACTTGGTTTATGCTTCACATGTACAGTACATGTGTATTTGTCATCAAACTTGCCATAACATCTCTGTAAACTTTCAATGACTCATCAGCAATTTTTTGTTGCTTTATCAGCAAAGTTGAGAAATTTAGCCATGTGGGTAGACAAGTTTGCTGATTAAAACTTTGCTCAAGGATCATCATACATAATATAGATTAAGATGCATTTTCTTTCTATCTACATCTGTAACACTCAATGATGCACAGAAGTGCTGAAAAATGCGGAATAAAAACATATTTTTTGAATAAACCCTAAATGTTACAGTCCTGTGGTGGCTAATCCTCAAAATGAATGTTGCTATTAACCTTTTTAGAACTCTTAACCCTTATTATTTGTATGTTTCTTATAGCCAGTTATAAAACATGGCAAGTCGAACAAGTGGTAATGTTCCTTGGAATGCTGATTCCACAGCCATTTGATAGATGAAATTTAAAAGCTTAAAAGGTTAAAAAATATGCGATCCACTTGCAGATGTCATGTTTTAAAACAGATATTATGATCTTACAATAAACCCACAACAGAGAGCACAGGGACGAGCTCTAACTCACGCAATATGAGACTTGTGACATGTTTATCTCGCTTGATGGGTTTGCATAAGAACACATTATCACAACATCTTTCAGTTTCAAGATTGGACCCCAAAAATTTACACTGTTCTTTCTGGTGTTAAGGCTTTGGTTTTTTCTATATCTTTTTCCTGTTGATGGCGAAGTGGAGAAATAAAACCTACTACAAAAGGCCATGCATGTGTTACTTTCAGACCCACAATGGATGTGCCATTGTCCTTTCCACTTTTGTCCTGGAACAGAATACCGATGTTCGCTTCGATCTGTTTACCGCGTACAGTTAAAAAGGTTTGCCATTCGATTGAAACCACCGTTCGAAGCAGGAGCCTCTCGACACTCGATGCGATAGTTCTGACTGCTGTTATTGTCCCAAAACTCCATACCTTCACCCCGAAAGCGAACTGCAAACTCCAGTACTCCTCCGGAAGCGAGAAAATATTCTGGAAGTGTTAGCGCAAACGAAAATCTGTCCGTTGCACCATCGTTTGATTCAGGCACATAAACCGCTTGCAAATCAGTGGATGAAATCCAGGCATCTAATGTGTACCTCACACAGACGCTTTTATGAAAGCAAATGTTTTTAACCTTTATCGTTCCCCAGATAGAGTTTTGCGAAGCCACAGCGTTTTCCAGACACACAGTCTGAATCTCTAGTTTGTCTCTGAAGTCTTCCGAAGCAACCGGTTGTGCGAAACATACATGTAATGTCTTCTTCGCTCGCTGGAGCTCCCTTTTGGTCATTTGTAATGCCACGTGTATGTTATATTCATCATCACTGTAAACAGAAACAAGCGGCTTCCCGCAGCCATCCGCAAACTGCACGGATTTTTTCCTCGGTGCAGGAAGCGAGTGATGCTTGCGAAGAATAGAATGGCAGCCGTTTTCACCATCATTGCCATCCAATTCATCGTCTTCTGAAAACGGAGGGAACACCGAATTCACTCTTCTCAGATGGGGCCAATCGACCATGTTGACACAGCGACTTTCGCTGCTATCACAATCAATTCCGTTGCTCATTTCCACCGCTCCCGTCGCTAGATGATTTTGTTCAACTCCGCATCGCGCCGGCGGTGGAAATAAAACGAGCGCTGAACGCAGGGCACGCATGTGTTTACGTGCGAATGATCACGCACGCATTAAAGAGTAAATTGACTCGATCTGATTGGTCCCTCAATAATTTAATGTCTGACCCATTGTACTTCAAAGACAGAAACTTCCTAAAAAGCGACTGTTTTGCATTTGTTGCTCGATTGCACATCTTCAGGAACAACAAAAAGAATAAGGAAAAGGGTTCCAGGGATAAAAGGGCAGACATTTCTACTTCTGAGAGCGT